TTACTTGCTGCTGTGACGAGTGAATTTCCCCGTTGTGGGATGAATAAAGTATAATCTAATCTAACATCGCAATCACAATATCTGTCAAGTAATCGCAATATGATGTTTTTACCCTATCGTGCAGCCCTAAATGTTTCCCCAACAAACAAACAAAATTATTGTACTGTATATGCCTTCAAGATGTTTATATTCTATATGGTGAGTGTCCATAATGCCCAGAAAATATTGAAAATAACAATCTGCAGATTGTCATTTGCAAGACAGCAGCTCTTTAGCATTTAGTGGGATCATCACTCCAACGCACTCAAAACACAACAGCTCTAACTACCTAAACTATAGCCTATACTGTATTACTCACTACTATGAATAAACTTGCTTCCTATATCTCATTGAAATATTTTATTTTTGCCCCAATGGGCTGATGTAGTCCAGTTGAAGACCCACTTCAGTACTTACAATAGAGCTGAAGTGACTTAAGCACAGTGGAGGGAGAAGGTATTTGTTTTATAAATGTAAATTAAGTTTCCAGTCTGGGTTCCTTCCCTGAAGTTTTACAGTTAGCATCCCTTTTTCACTTGAACAAAGGCATCTGAGCACTCTGAATGAAAGGAGCATGTAAACACAAGTGTTCAACATTAGTTACCATAGTCAAACACTTTGGGAAATAGGCCCATTTGCTTTTTTGGCGACAGATGAGAATATCAACACAACACGCATGCCTGTATGCTAAATAACAAGCTACAACCAGCAGCCAGTTAGCAATGCTTAGTTAAAGACTGGAAATGTCGGGACAGCTAGCTTGGCTCAGTCCAAAGCTGACAAAATCATCCTGTAAAGCTCACTAATTAACATGTTATATCTTGTTCAGTTAATCCGTTCAAAAACTGAAATGTAAAAACAACAATCCTGCCAAGAAATAGTCTTGCGCATACCCCAGTTAAACCACAACTTGTACCCGAACGACCATGACTAGCTGTTTCCCAGTTTCCAGTCTTTATGCTAAGCTAGGCTAACTGGCTGCTGGCTGTAGCCTCATATTCACCATACAGAAATCCAAGTTTTCTATTGAACTGTTTTTTATATCGAACTGTTAGGAAAAAGGCTGTTCCATGAAAATCTCTAGATAAAGGGCGAGGCACCACAAACTTTAATAAAGCAGTAAGGTCACACACAGAACGGTGCAAGAGTAGCAAGGTCATCCAGACTAAAGGCTTATTTAAAGTTTGAACAGTGTTAATTTGTATAGCGATATACGTAACGGAAGGAGAATTATTAGCACCTCAAGATCATTCTTGAGACAGACTGTGGCCTGAGAGGATCGATGTTTGTCTTTCTTACTGTAATTATACAAATGTTAGTAGAGTCCATTACATTAAACTTAACATATACAATTCATGTTAATATTAGATTTAGAGTTCCACTCATGTTTTCATCGCAGATGCAATTTTCTAGTGTTTTTTTGTGAAGCTTTAACATTTAGTGCACTTGTGAGGCTCATGAGAGGCATATTGCTATTATTGTGTTATTTTGGTGTGTGCCCTAAAGTAGTGAGGCAGTGAAGCCAGTATATATTTAGTACTGTAGGAATACTGAATAAAAGAATATGAGGGGGGGTGAACCCTTAATGGACCACATTTTATATATATGACTGAATTCTGCACTGTTGTAAAATAGATCACATGCTAATCGGATCCTTATGTATGCTGGAAGGTTTCAGTTCTGGATGAAAACTGCACGCTCTGAGTTGACCTCGATTGAACTGAGCTGTACTTTTAGAGGTTTTAGAAATAGCACCCTCTTTAAGTATGTTTACTCCAAGCCCTGTCCACAAACTTAACACTGAAATAGCACATAATCATCATCCTCTCTAGAGCCAGTTGGTGTACAATTACTGTTTACTAGATTTGCCAGATTTGCCAGACTTGCTAGCCTTAGCAGCTTTGGTAGCTTTGATGTCCATCTTGGTCTTCTGGATACGAGAGAAGATCTCCTTAAAAAGGGCCTTGTACTCTGGAGTGTTCTGCCCCAGCCTCTTATCCACCGCCTCCACCTGCTTGCTGATGCTCTCAATGGCCTCAGGGGTGGAGGGCGACTGCGTGGGGGTAGGGGGAGGCACCGGAGTGGGGCCCATCGCACAGTCTTTCATGGATGGGTCTCGGGAGACGGGTCTGGAAGTCTGGACACCGGCGTGACACAGGCTCTCCTCGTGGCGCCTACACTTCCCTAACAACTCCTCATATTTCTCCAGTAAGGCGTGGTACTGCTCATCCACCTCCCTGAGGATGGACATCCCTCGCTTCCTCACGCTGTTGGCGTGGAGAGCGTAGCTGCCTCTTCTTCGGCCGGACGCGTCGCGGGCCACGATGGCATTGAGTGCCGTGTCGCTGCAGCTTTTCCTCACAGGGCTGGACTCAGGGAGAGCCTCCCCTCCCACGCCTCCTCCCCCTTCGGTCTCTTCCCTCACACCTCCTCCTGTGTCCCCGACCTCCACCTCCAGGAAGGTGTCAGTCTCCGGGGTGCTATTGAGGACAGTCTGGGTAAGAGTCACGCCATCGTCCTCGCTGTTCAGCAGGAAAGTCCGAGCGCGGCGGAGCTGCTGCAGCTCCTGTAGTTCCACCTCCAGCTCCCGCACCCTCCCCTGGCAGCTCTCAGCATCCTACGAGCAAGAATAAACACAACTTCAGTCGGACAGTTACTCAATATTTTTGTGGTAATTGCTTTCTGGCTCTGGCCCTGCAAGATGATGAAAGGAAACCTGTGTGAATCACTGAAAAAATCAAAGCAATTCAGAGGTTTGGGACCATGCAAAGTCCCGCCCCTTTTTGCCCTTTTTGCTTTGTTGAGCAATCCACGTCAGAACCTCGATCAACTTTTTCCTTTCTTATACTTGTGGTGTGTTCCTTTCACCTTAGAAGTCCAAAGTTGGATCTGAGAATGACATCACACCCGAGTTAAAAGCGTTAGAGTAGTCGGAAAACCAAGCTGTAGCCAGGTTAGCTATTAATGGTGTTTTCCTTTTCGTCGTCTAATTCTTTTCAAAATAGACGAGCCTACCACAAGTAAGGTTGATCGAGGTTCCAGAAGGGGTGGGATTTAGGAAGCTGTTCATACTGTGATAATGTGTCCTGTTACCTGGACTCGTGTCTGCAGCCGAGAGAACTCTGAAAGCAGGAGGTTGCACTCCCTCTCCACACCCTCTCGGCGCCCCCTCTCAGTCCGGACAGCCGCCCGTAGAGCCGACACCGCCTCCCTCAGATGCTGGTTCTCCTCTTCAAACGGTTGAGGCTTCACCTCCCCAGAAAAGCTCTCAGCTCTTCCCACCACAAACTCATCCTCATACCTGCCAACATGACACACACATATCTAGTACCCCTGCTAGACTGCTGATGAGGTGAGTAGATGAATTAGTTTCTTTAGACAAAGTGATGACTGGCACCCTTTCACTGGTAGTATATTTCATTGTTGTAATGATTTGCCACCAAAACTAACAAATACCTGGGTGCTGTGCAAAGCTCCCTCAGGCAAGGAAAGGAGTGGATGGTCTTGCGTCGTTCCCTCTTCTCCCTCCTGACTCGGAGCTGCTCCATGGAGCGAAGCTGCTCCACCTGCCCTGAGAGAGACTCCACCTGGTTCTGCAAAGCCTCAATGGTCCCCGTTAGCCTGGTCCAGCAGGAAGGGCAAACGGTTAGGGGGTGAAGGAGGAGGATGAAGGAGTAGAGAAAAGAAAAGTTCCAGGCCCACTCACCTCTCTATCTTTTGCTGCGAGGCCTTGCTGTCCATCACCAATGTGTGGTTGGTGCGTTCCAGTTCTCTGGCGGTCCCGTCCAGCTGCTCGTACACTTTGGCATGCTGCTCGTTCATGTCCCGAAGGACCTCCAGCTGCTTGGACAGGTACTGTGGGACAAACACGTAGACATGCCTGCTTGTACACTTCTACACAGTGAATGTACACGCAATATAGATTTCCTTTTATATGAAGATTTTCTTTCTGAAGATCATGTGATTTGATCAAAATCCACAGAACAGCCACTAAATGGACATTGAGGTTTGAGGTGAGGTTATCAAATGCTAAATACTTTTATTATATTATATATTATAGGTCAAAGTAACTTTTTAAACATCAACTTTTCCAATGTAGGAATTTCTTTTATTATAATCAAATACAAATTAGTAAATTAACCATTTAATTAAGCAACAATTTGCAGTTTTGTCTTGTTCCTCCATAAAAAACTACATTAAAGGACTACTGTGCCTCATTTTAAGGTAACGAAAACACAATGATTCCTATATTCAGATGATTGTACACTAATGAAAACATACCTATTAATATTTACTTCCATTTCTGCGAATAGATCCTCCTAAATGTTACACACTGGACCTGGAATACAATTCATCCTAGGCGATATGAATGTGTTTACCAGATTTCATAGCAACTGTTGTTGAGACATTTCAGTCAAAATCACAAATGTGAACCTGATGGTGACGCTTGAGGAAAAGGCCGGGGATCACTGAAGTCAGTGGGATTCTCCCTCTGGGCAGCATGACAGACTGTGGTGGACCAACCAACTGACATTGCCATCTCTTAACTCGGCCAATAAGGAGCTTCTTTTAGGATGTTTTACCATGGTTAAGGACATTGAATACTGGTGCAATTACATTTACAATCACTCTTTTTTCATTTTCTGTTTTTAAAATAAACCATTTACACATATTATACAACATATTATTATGATGCTAATACAAAAAAAAACCCAACACTAGTGAATGGCAGTGTTTCTATATACAATCTTCATATTGCTACTTCACCTTTCACAGTTTCTTAGAAACTGTTGCTCAGTGAAGTGGCAGCAGGGCAGAAAGGGTAATAACGTCAGGTCTCTTAAGATTGTTAAGAGTTGATTGTTGTATAAAATTCAGCTATCAGGATAATACATCTTTCATAACCAGGATCTACATCCCTGTGTCTCCTCATTCTAGCTCTCTGCTTTATCATTTCTCCCCCTTATATCTTGCTCATATCTCACTGTTTTAAAACTGGTGTATGCTGCCACTCAATTCCTTAGCAAATAGACTCATTCATATCTCTCTATCTCCCACCCGCAGAGATAGAACACACACACAAAAGTCTGATGTTGAATCTAAAGTGATGCACTGACTGATACGCAATCATCATGACCATTATAATCACACAGATTAGTGACTCATCATTTCATTTGATTGTGTGATGGTAAAAATACGTGACAGTACTGAGCTGTCTCTCAGCCGTTAATTTGAGCTACTGTCAGTACATCTCTTTTAATAGACAGTGTAGAAAAAAAAGACATGTAATTTCACTTAAGTTTTGGGTATTCGTCTTTAATTCAAAAACTAATTAATGACAGACATTCAGAAGGAGTAAATTGCATCAATCAGAGTAATGGACGATTTGAGCAGTCCATTTTATCTGGTGGTGTGTATGCACATGAGAGCTCGAGACCCGCTTAGAAACGTTTGTTCTGAAAAGCCACTGGAGGTTATGTTTTACAGACTGGCAGCCAAATGAACTGTCACATAAACATTGCCTCAGTTCTGTCTCATAAATATTTTGCTCCAGCCTGGAAAGTGAGATTTCAAAGTGACAATGTGGGACACAGTGAGTGCTTGCTAGCCCTGGTTATTGTGTATTTCAACGTGTTCACGTGAACATACAGAATGTGCCTTGCTTTTGTGTAGGTTTCTGTTTTCACTATGTTATTAACCTTGGAGCAAACAGTCATTGCTTAATCTGGCCCTGTTATTCTGTCCTCACTCTACCTGACCTTCCTCTCCTCCTCTGGTATTAGAAAATATTGGCGTTCCTGTGTTTTTCTTAGTCTGAGTAAACTGTTGTTAAATGGAATGATTGTTTGCTCCTCTAAATCCTATGAGATCTAACAGTAATTTCACAAGAGGAGTCTGATATTGTGAGCAAATACTCTCAACATAAGAGTTTTGCTGAAAGACTCTCGGGACAAGGGCTCAGTACAAAATAAACTGAGACACAACAGCATTTGTAAGATAGTCTCAGACTGATAATCTGCTGCTCTAACATATATATATTCTCAAACTGACATAAATAAGCAGTATAGCTATACCGGTGATCACAGTGCAAGATAAGAAGGTTTATTTCTCATAGTACATAAAAGTCAAATTCATGTGACAGATTACCTCCGATAAAGAATGTGTATGTATGTATCCTTTGTTACCATGGTGTACAATATGGGTATAGACTGCAGGTAATTGCAGTCTATCTTTAAATGGTATTCAAATCATGTCATTATGGTTACATTGTAGGATCAGACCAGGTTGCTTAGCTCTCCAGCTTTGAAGATGGAGATAGAAATAGAGTTGTATTGCATTAAAGCAATTCTCCTGTGAAGCGCATCGTCTGATCTGCCTTCCCTGGATGAAAAGAAAAGTCACTTTCAAAAGCCAGGACACATGGTCATCATATACTGTAGCTGCTCTGCCACCTGCACAAAAGCACAAACAAATGCCGTTTCAGTGTCCACCACTGCTCAGAAAACAGGCACGGCAAATTTCTATCCGTTCAGTAACAGGCAGACAGTATAGCAGTGCAGCATTGAACAAACAGGGAGGAAAAACTCACCCCAGGGGAAGGCTTATCATGGCACGGTGTTCCCTTTGTGCCACCATGTCACGCTGTCATGCAGAATGCTGCCAACCCCACAGCACTTTTGAGCCACCGAACAAGAGCGCTTGTAAACCTTTTTTTTTTGCTTTTGGTTTGAGTTTAAAAGGGCATTTGTCTGCTCCTGTGAAATGTCAAACTGTGCAGCAGGATCATTTGTTGAGGTTGAAAATGTTGTCACGTCTTTTGTGAAGTTCTGATACAAGATAGAACTCATTTATATATAGGTATGAACATCTAATTCAGTTCATAGTAATAAAATGATTGAAAAAATTATGATGTTTTTACCTATCATTAAGGTTAAACAAAACCGCTAGTCTAATGTAAATTTTACATACTCATGAACTGTACTTAAAGCAGCTATAATTGATAAATAATAGTAACGTATCACATGTTCATAAAACAACGTAGTAATGAACCTACAGAGAACGATGTATTTACAGCTCCGCTCGGCTTCATGGAGCTTTATAGTAAGTTACGGCTCATTCACTGTTCTGGTTCACTCTCACTGCTCTTATAGCTTTGTTTTGTCTACAGCAAGCAGCTGTAAGCATCCTAGCATCAACTGGCAGAAAGACATTTAGTGAGTAGCTGGTGAACATATGGAATATTTAACAGCAGAAGAGAGCAGATCGTTCCCTCAGGAGTTGGTAGAGACCAAAAACAGAGCATGAGAATGAATACTGGTATTCGTTAGATGGACACAAAGATGCCTCCAAATGCATGACAGTGTTACTCCTTATGTGCTGGATGTGTAAATATGCAACTGTGAGCACAGAGGATTATATTAAGTATTTGAGTTTTTGCATTTCATCGTTATACTTACATTCATATTGTGCCCTGTAAACATTTATTTAACAGTTACTTATCAATATTTTCATATAAACCATCTGATTATAAAATAAACCATTGTTATAGATTAAACTAATCAACAGTGTACACAGTAAATCCCCCTCTACCAACTAAACTACTACATATTATTGTATTTATTTTATTTATATATGTATATATCTACTATCAGTCTCCAAACACAGTTTGTGATTCACATGAATCAGATTTTGTAGATGTATTTTGTTTTTTTTCCCCCTCTTTGACCGTATTTAGTACGTTTGATACCTTGTGCTGAAAATACCTATGCCCTTTTACTTATGTAACATTTTCCATTGCATAATATTAAACTTAAAATGGAGTATTTTTACATGTTCTTGGTACTTTTACTTGTGTAAAGAATCTCAATACTTCTACCAGTGAACGAAACAAAATTGTCAGGATGACATATGTTGCAGTTTGAGGCATTTGCAACACATCAGCAAGATGTCACTGTGTTATGACTGTGCTTCCCTTGCCCTTCCCCAAAACCTGCTTCATTATTACATGATCATAACTATGAAGTATTCTGTGTAATGAAAATCGTAGTCATAATCAACATCCTAGACACATTATCAGAATGAATTTGGTCCATTGGCTGTAACACAGAATACAGAAAATCACAATACAAACACATCACAATGTGTGCTGCAACTCAAAAATAACTAAACTGTAAAAATGAGTAATATCAATGTGTCCAATGATGAGTCACTTTTCCTAGACGGCTGATGGCTCCACAATCTTCCCCACATGTGTTTCAACCACTTGTGTAATTTATTAGTTATTGATTTCAGTCCTTTTTTCCTCCAACTACATTTAAATTAAATTCAATTGAGTTGTGATGATTTTTGACTCCGGCATCCAAATGATGAGTTTGATAAAATCTAATTCCTCTGCAGGGTTTCTACAGTAATTGAGGTTATTTATTGTATAAATATAATATTATACACTGGCAGCATTTCCTAATTTGTTTGACTTGTTGCTGTAGCTGTTCATAGCAAAGCGTGTGGGGTGCCTTTTATTCATATTTGAGTGGCCACTGCTGAGTTTATTGGATTTGAAAAAAGTTTCTCATGATTTATTCAAAATTATATTTTTAGAGCCCGTCTGATATTTATGTTTTTATATTAATGCAACATTTCTCTCTCTCTCGCTCTCTCTCTCTTTCAGATGTAAATGGAGAAGCACAAGTGTCACCAAGAGAAATTGGACGTCCATACAATTTTAAAGTGCTTTGCATTAAAACACACACAGCATCACTTCTCTCTAAAGTAATCCATTACTGACAATTAATGTCAAACTGCACGCTGGAGCAGCTTCATGCTGCCTCACTGGGTGAAACATTGCTAATGGAAAGAAAGCCTTATAAGATCCAGCTCATCAAAATACACCTAAATGCAGCATAATGCCTTCAAAAGTGTCATGTTTATACCTGTTGACAGTGGTCTGCTGGGCGAGCGCTCTGTGGTACTTGAGTATATCTCGCCCAACATCCACTTATGTCGGCCACATGTCTGTGCCTATACGTAAGACTGTGAAACCCCCAAAAAACATTACCTTCACCAACATCCGCACCCGCCCCCTTAACCCACATGCCTTTGAATTTGTCATCAATGAGCCGAAGAAATGCGAAAGTGACGCTCCCTTCCTGGTCATCCTCATTAGCACCACGCACAAGGAGTTCGATGCACGGCAGGCCATCCGGGAAACCTGGGGTGATGAGAGCACCTTCAGCGACATCCGCATCCTCACCATCTTTCTGCTGGGCAGGAACACAGACAACGTCCTGAACCAGATGGTGGAGCAGGAGAGCCAGATCTTCCATGACATTGTTGTGGAGAATTTTATTGATTCCTACCACAACCTCACCCTCAAGACCATGATGGGAATGCGCTGGGTTGCCACCTTCTGCCCCAAAGCGCAGTATGTCATGAAGACAGACAGTGATATCTTTGTCAACATGGACAATCTGATCTACAAGCTCCTGAAGCCCACCACCAAGCCAAGAAGGAGATATTTTACCGGTTATGTTATAAACGGTGGGCCCATAAGGGATATGCGCAGCAAGTGGTACATGTCCAGGGATTTGTATCCTGAGAGTAAATACCCACCTTTCTGCTCGGGCACTGGCTATGTGTTCTCAGCAGACGTAGCCGAGCTCATCTACAAGACTTCATTACACACAAGACTGTTGCACCTGGAGGATGTGTATGTGGGACTGTGTTTGCGTAAGCTGGGTATACACCCGTATCAGAACAGTGGTTTTAATCACTGGAAAATGGCCTACAGTCTGTGCAGGTACAGGCGGGTTATCACTGTACACCAGATCTCCCCGGAGGAGATGCACCGCATTTGGAATGACATGTCCAGCAAGAAGCACCTGAGATGTTAGGGGACATGAGGACCACTGACCAACATCTTCAATGGGGTTTTTGTTTTGCCTTTTTTCCTCCTTTTCAAATTACATCACACTGAGTAGTGTAAAAACATCGATGGCTTCTGCAAGTCTCTATTTCATGACAGATGTTTTCATTAACATCCATCTATGTCTCTTTTTCTGCTGATTACACCTCACGATTGTTAATGAATGCATGAGGCTTGTAAAGCGCGTATTCTCATGCATAAGTAAAATGTGGTGTTGCAACTGAAAGTAATTTTGTTCATGTATTTCAGGTCCAATTTAAGCAGATTATTCTTTATGAGCATTGAGTCAATCAACATTAAGAATTATGTAGTGTGGCCTAATGAGTACAGACGGTGTTTTAACCAGACGACCTTGGTTCAAGCCCTCACACTGATAACTTTCTGTCCTGTTAAAGTGTCCTTGAGTAAGACACTGAATCTCTACCAGCTGCACGGCTGCTGACTAAGCATCCTGATCTTCCTGCGGGAGTGCAAGCCAAAAGAGATTGTCTGTGCAGGAATCAATAAAGTATTAAATTACTATATTACATCTATGATATTATGCATTTTAAAAGTATCATTTACCAGTGAAAGTAGAGAACAATGAGAGTGCAAATGTTAATCTTATCCAACAACAAACCAGGTTGTGTGCTGAGATAAAAGTATATGCTCATGCTGCTGTCCCCTTTTTCATCTTTATTATGAACACAGTTAGATAGAAAGCTGAAGTATTATCAGTCTCCAAACAGACCAGGTTGAAAGATAGTTACATATTTTTCAATCAATACTTTTCTTCTTCTAGCATTGGTAATTATGAAATCTCGTAGCTGAATTTGATGGAATTTGCCTAATGTTTTTGTTTACATATTGTCATAATTTCAATGCCTCTTCTCTCTGAAAAAGTCAGATGTATATTTGTCTTGTTTGGGATGCATTTTGTTTTTTTTTCCTCTTTTATATAATTGTGTTTTTCAGCTACCAGCTCCTCATTACACCAGCTGCTGCTGTTGGTTATATATGCTGTACATCAGCAGCTCAACTCCTCCACACATCAAGAGAAATAATACAGTATCATGTTGTGCAAGTATGAACTGTAGCTAAGACCATTACAGACTGGATGTATTATCATAATGTATCTGGCATATCAGTGATTACTCAAGCACCATACTGACATCATGGTAAGATTTTGTGTCTTTCAGAAAACATGGCTTTCGTTGCCAAATTTTCATTTCCTTTTACAAAAGTTTTGTAGAATTATAAGCTAATGTGACATTTACTGTGAAAGCATCTATCCCGCAAGGGGTTGTTGTCATATATTGTATGTTTTTTATATTAAAAAACAAATACTTGAATAATTAAAGTTATATTACTGCTTTTACTTGTTTACTTGTTTCGAGTTCCCAGGGTTACCTTAGGTAGTTTGTGGTAGTGACAGTATCTGTAATTGAAGAGCAGGTTGTTTCACAGTGATTATGAAATGTTTTTTAGCTATTTAAAAAAATAATCCTATGTAACTTTCTGAAATACAAAAAAGATTTGGCTACAAACTGAAACTACAGGGGTATGAGGGTAAATGCTAAAACATAGTTTAAAGGACCAGTGTGTAAGATTTCTAGCAGTGAAGTTTCAGATTGCAACTAACTGAACACTGCTCGCGTATATATTTGATACCCTGGGAATGAGATCAGGCTGTGAAGTGTGTGGCTGCAAATATTTGCTTGTCAGTTCTGGGCTTCTGTAGAAACATGGTGATTCAACATGGCAGACCAGCAACATAAAAACGGCTCATTCTAAGGTAACAAAAACAATTCTTATTTTCAGGTGAATATACACTAATGAAAACATACCTATAAATACTATATTCCATTTCTGACAATAGATCCTCCCAAATGTTACACACTGGACCTTTAACAGAAGCACAAGTAGAGACTAACAAAGTCAGCAAGCTCACTCATCTTGTCAGTTACACAGTAATAGCCATATGAAGTTTGCTAACATTGGATAAAATTAGCTACAATAAGCTAATGACACTGTAGCCAAACTTACTCTTAAAGGTTAGCTGCTTTTTGCTTTAAAAAGGCAATTTTTTTCATTAGCTAAATCAAGGCTCTAAGGGGAGAAGGTGTCGTATGCTGTACAGATCGTAAAAACCCCTCTGAGGCAAATTTATGATATTGGACTACATAAATAAAATTGACTTGGCTCTTGTGTCCGTGGTGTATACTTGAGGAAAAATTACAGCTGTGAGTTGGCCTTTTATAGCCAATATGCCTTTAAAAAAACAACTTTTAGTGTAGGTCGTATCAAGTTATAATTGAGTATGTTATGACACTGTCAGCTAAAAGTAAACACTCCACACCTTTTTTTTAAATAATAGCAATTCTTTATTGTTGCTCCTTGTCAGAAATTTGACATCAGCTGATTACAGAGAGGGAACGGGTAATATGCTGAAATGGTACACATACTGTACATAAAAAAACACAATAAATTACTTTATAATAAAGAATTTAGTAGAAGTTAATATTTACCACCTCAATACTTAAAAATAATTTAGTACTACTGGACTTGTTTGGACAAACAAATGGCTCGTCACCCTTTCAATAGTTGCCTTTTGGTTTCATCCTCAGATGCATTGTCATACAGTACATTTTTAGAAACTACTATATTTTTGGGAGAAAAAAAAGTTTTTTGTAGTGCAGCAGGACAGAGCAAGAAAATTAAACTGTTGTGGTTTTGTCTATTAACCTGGCATCTGAATATGCGTCAACCAGAGCAGATTAATTGGCTACAGGTTCTCTTATGTTTTATTTGTCTGATGACAAAAGCACACATTAACTTGTCTCCAGGGGCTAAGCATCTGCTGGTCGGGCGCACACACTCAGCCCAAAAGTGCATTGTAGCTTGTCTCATTAAGTTAAGATACTTGACTTGAATTGTGTCATTGCTGTAATAGTAATACATTGTGAAATGGTAATCAGCGGGTTCTGCTCTTTGTGGTCTCACTCATTGACTACTTTCTTAGGCACAGAAAAATGAACAAGGCACCTCTAACATTTTGAAGCATTAGCACTGTCGAGAGCAGCAAATTATACACAGTAGCATCCAGGTCTCGTTTTGTTTTCTGCACACTCAAGCAAAGGGTTCCCTTCTTTGTCAATGTAAAACGGGTCTCGACACAGAAATACAATTCATTATCTTTTTAGACATTCATTACGTTATTATGAAAATGTGCTTTTCCCCATAAATTAACTGAATCTTACATTCTGACATAGACCTCAGGGAAACGTCACAAATGAGTGGATTCGTGAGATGCGAGTCAAAGCAAATTTGTTTTCACTGTGGCAACAAAACAGCGTGAGAAACAAACTAAAAATACTCTTCTCATTTCAATAAATAATGAGAGCTTTGCTGAACACAAAGGTAATATGGTGTAAAACAAAAATGAGAAAAAGAAAAAAATAAATAAAACATTCAAAGCTACATCTTAATCTCCTTATGTCACCACCTGAGTACATCTTTAAGTTCCTGGGCTGTATCCTGATCCCGGTCTGTGCGCTGGGCGGTGGAATGTTGTTAAGGTTAAAGGTCAGGGAGCAGTGAGCAGGGAAGTCGGCGCTAAGGAGGTGAAGGCGGGGCGGTGGCAGAGCTTGGCCTCAGGGAAAGGTGAAAAAAAGGTGTGAGGGAGGAGGTGGAGTGAGTTTTAAAAGGAGGGTGTTGGGGAGGATGTTGCAGGAAGTGGTGGTTTGTTCCTCAGTCTGTCTGCCCTGAACTGTCTCCCCTGTCTCACCTGCTTCAGGCATCAGCTAACACTTAGCTGTGCAAAGCCGATCAGCTTCACCTCGTCCGGGATCTCTGTGTCATCGCAGCCGGATGCCTGCGAGAGAAAAACATTGCAAGGGTCAACGTGGCTAGTTTGCATCCTGACCCACTCATCTCCATCAAGAGAACTAATCCTGCAAAATCTCTAGAACAGCTGTAGTGTAACACCCTGGATTAGCAGCAGGACCAAATGCTCACAAACAGGGTAGGCACTGAAAAGTATTGAGAAACACATTGTTGGCTTTGGTCTTTTCACAGAATTTGATAACAATGAGAATATAGGCGTATATCTGCAACCTTATATTCTATCCATAAATGGAGACATTGACATCAACAATCTTTTCAGGCTGTTAAAATGATGTTAAAATGTTAACAACATTGTTTTAAAAGGTTTATAAAATAATAGTATAATAAAAAAATAGTATAATATAAAGTGAATAAGAAACAGTATTTTAATGTGTCACATCTGGCCAATAGTCTGTTTAATAAGGTCAGTATTGGCACCATTTCTGCTGCAGTATATCAGGTTGGACCGTCCATATTATGCTGTTAGATTAAATGTGAAGATGTAAGTCTTTATCTCATTGTAGTTTGCACACATTAAAACATACATGTATATCATCAAATTGTATGCATCATATACCAAATGTGTGTACCTTTAGTTTGGGGCTAGTCCCATTAGTTACAATGAGAGGAAATCTTATGACATGTTGTGTCTTATGTGCTTCTAATTTTGTGGCGATAATTTGGAAAGGACAATGCTCCCCGTGCACAAACTGATGTCTATAAAGAAATGAAACTTGACTAGTCTGCACAGATCCCTTGACCTCAAATGCCATCAAACACCTTTGGGATGCATTGGAACACCGACTGCGAGCCAGGCCTCATCACCTAACATCTGTGCCCAACCTCTCTACTCCTGTGGCTGAACGGGAACAAAGCCCAGCAAGCAGGTTCCAAAATCTGGTAGAGCCTCCTTCCAAGCAGTGTGGAGGCTATTACCGCAGCACATTATTGCCTATAATTTTGGAATAAAATGTTCATACAATGTTTGGGTGTCCTCATACTTTTGGCCATGTAGCGCATCACCTCTAAACTTCAACAGCTGCCAGTGACAAAGCGCAATATTTACTGACAATTCAACCTCCCAGCCCCTGATGTGAACCCAATTTTGATGCTGGTCAGATGCTACGCACAGAGGCAATATTAAAGGCAGCACGCATTTAGATATATGTGTTCCCTGAAAACCAGGGTTTTTCTTTTTTATTCAGCTCTCCTTCTGTGGAAAAGCCAGTGCGAATGAGTGGCCTAACACCTGCCGGCCTCTGGAAAATCACACCTGATCAAAGAGAGACACTCCATCTCTCTGGGGGTCTCAGAGCTCTGCAGTTGTCTGATCAAAATGGAGGGACTGTAATGAAAACAGGCTACTCTTTGTGAGTCCATAGTGACCTCTTGCCCTGTTAAGTCATAAAGTTGCTCTAGTGCCACCCACACCATAAATTGTCTGCATAAAGTGTTACGAACGGTTCCCCTAGCGAGGGTAATTATTCTAACTCCCTGGGTTTTGTGACACTGCACTCGTAACTCTTCGCTTAGAAATGCAGTTTTTGCATTGCCTGCAGTGGAGCAGAGTTAACATATGGAAATTGAGGCCTGTCCATATATTTACATGCTGTATCCAGCTCTTCCCTCGCCCTGACTCTCCAGAGACTGGTCCACCTGCAACACCCACTAGCTGCTGATAAGGCAAACATGGCAGAAAGGTCACTTTGAAAAGCACTGTGACCCAAAGCACAGATGTTGTTTACCCACAAATACAGAAAGGTCAATAAAACATAATTTACATAGTTCTGTCAAATCCAGAAGGACTGACATTAGTGCTTCTTTTTCCCCAAAATTGTTTCTCTAATAGCCATATAAAGGTGACTTCTAAAAGTGGCCCATACACAACATTCACTTTATCTGTCCTCGTTGTAGATGAATTAACAAAGTGAGTCTGAATCTCATGCAGACTTCAAATGAACATTACTGTACTCCGAATCAGTGGCCCACGGGTGAACTGCAGATTGGTGACTTAACAAGGTGCATCACTGAGAGAAGACAGTGGGTAGAAAACAGCACTGCTGTCAGTTGAAAACTGTGTTTGACCTTCAGTTTCTGCTGGAGATTAAATTAGGCTGTCAAGGCTGTAACACTCTTATCCATGGATAATACACAAAACACAATTGGACATTGTATATATTATTTTCAAAAACAGGTATATTTTCCTGATGCAGAGCTGTTCAGATATAAAATAAATCTTAATTACTTATTTACTTACTTCCCGTGGGCTAAATGTCCATTAACCTTAGCCTTTTTCTCTTTTTGTCAAAGGTAGTTTATGATTGTAAACATATCAAAATGTACATCTATACAAACTCTATATGAATAATATAGAATTATTATATATATATCACAATGATGTATATTTGTTAAACAGTGTCTATGCTGTTTTATATTTATATTGTTAACTTTATTACTAGAAGAAAAGGTATTATTATATAAAAGCTTAACATTTTCATTTGTCAGTACTCTAAAAAGTGCTCAGAACAAGTTTAATCTACAGTTCAACAAGAAAACTCTAGTATATATAGTACATTTGTCTGCAATATGGATCAAAGGGTCATAACCTTGTAAGAACAAAATTCACGTTATGTTGATATTGAAAAAGGTTTTTGTTGAATCAACCATCCAGTAATGGGGTAGGTGTCACGATCGCCCCCCAGCCTTACTTAGTAATATCTCCTTCACCAACAAAACATTGTTTTCATGCCGAAGCGCTCACATTTCTCCCTGAACCTTTCGTCAACGAGCTGTTTATGGCTGGACATTGTCAGCCAGGACAAACCCGTGAGGGTGTCATCAACCATCAATCATCTGGGAACTCACCAGCTTAAAGGTCAATACTTTGTAGGTAGTTGGGTCATCTACAATCTTCTGAAGGTTAGCAGCAACTGTAATGCAGGGCACACAACAACAACATGTTATATAAATAATATCAAGTATTATTACATTTCAGTACATGTTGTGCAACAGGAGAAAGAGAATGCTAAAAAAATAATAATTCATAATAATTTAATGTGATAAATTCCCATACCAGCTAACATGTATAAGTTAGGCTAACTTATCATTTTAAAATAAAATGCAATGTATATAAACAATGTAAGTTTCTATCAATTTTTGTTGTCTCAGTTTCTGCAAACTGAGATAAACGTCAATCTCTCTCTTTCTAGTAAGCCTGATACTCCCTAAATGATTCTTTATGGTACATGAGCTTAGAATTTTCAGACAACACAATTTACCAAAATAAAGAGGTGGAACATTACCAACAACAACATCGTGCCCGTTGACAAGGCCGGCTGAGAACAATTCCTGGGAAACGCCATCAGCGGTGTCTTGTGAGGGAATAACATGACAAATATTGGGCCTGCAACATTCCACTTAGAAGGTAATTGTGTTAGATATTGAATTAGATACTGTCATGAGCACAAACGACCCATTACATACAGTGCCTGAAGATGTTATCAAAAACGGAACAGCACATTTAAATCTAGAAAAAGCTCTTACCTCGTCCAGGAGTGAATTCAAACCGGATGTCATTCAACTCCTTTCTCGAGTTCCTGGGGGAAAAAAGAGAAAAGGGTGTGACTGAACAAGTAGTATCTGAAAATTCAGATTTAGATTTTGTGTTTCTATGAGTGTCCTCTGGGCACAAATATTTAAAAGGAAGCAGAGACAAGTAGAAAACAAGTATGAAATTGTTATCCTTAAAAATATTTTTTGGCCACAACAAGCTGTAAACACACTATCACCTCATAAAGTTGATATGGCGAACGTATTAGCAAACAATGGCATATTTAGTCATCAAGCAGCAGCATTCATTTGGAGTCATGTTTGTGTTCACCTGAAAAATGTTCCAATATTCACTCTTTTAAAACTGAAAATATCGAGCTCTTTTGCTGCTAATGCTCCATTAGATCCACTAACTTTAACTGTGTGCCCTTTGGTGCTGGGCAGGAAGCGTACAGTTGATTTTTTTTTTGTTTTTTTTGCTGAAAATGGCACTAATAAGAGCAGTGAGAGTGAACAAAAACAGTAAAGTTGAGGGCAAGAAAACCCAAACAATTAGCTGAAAGGCCTCACTAAAACTGCAGAGTACACATTCATTATTCCCTTATATATGATATATATTATTTATATATAAATATAAATGACTGTTACCCAAGTAACTAAAGCAATGATTTAATAAATGAGTTGCATGGGCAAAATGTGCTGTAGCAGTGGAGAATGTGCAGAGGACATGGCTCAGTAGTTTTCCACATACTGAGCAGTATGAAGGTAACAGCTGTATAACTGCTTCTGCTGCATACCTCACACCTGCTGCATCCACTAAGATGTATACAGCAGAGTTGAAAGGACTACACGGAGAACTGCAGAAAATGCTGGCATCTGCTTATCTCTCTGCATTTAGCTATTTAAATGTTCTGTGAAGATTAAATGTGACTAAACATGATTTCAGTGTTGTAGCTGTAACTTTAAGGTGGTATGTATCTCAACCATAGACTGCAGTAAAATGTAAAAATAAACTTGGCTTGACTTGGCTGACTGCATTAAAACTGTTCCCGTCTTTGCAGCATCAACTTGCATTTATTTGCATCACTTGCATTAGAAATAGGTCTTTAAAATGTGTGTGTGACAGGGGAGTGGCCAGTATCTATGAAAGCAGGACATGTCAGCGCAACCCAAAAAACGTGTGGTAGGAGAGGATTAATTTGGTTTGTAATCTAGTTAAATAAATCACATGGCCAGCCCACAGCCCTCATTTCAGATGAGACAGAGCCATAATTCAACACACACATAGCTAATGCATTCTGCATTCAGTGTATTAGCAGCAAGTCTATACAAAATAGTGGGAGTGAGGATTTACTATCAGCTCAGCTGTGAGTCAGACTTTTTTCATTTTAGAGAGTTATGGTTGAAAAAGAACTGGGTAAAACTCTGGTGGAGCAGATGGACGTAAACAACATCTCTATTCCCAGCAGTGGAAGCAGTAGGTGCACATTGCCAAGGCGAGGCCACACGTATGTCAGAGGATCATAACCCTGCCAAGATAGATTGTGCCTAAATTCTGCCTCCTCTGAAGAAAACCAACAGTGTTTAGAAAGCATTCTGTCAGACTACGTGAGGATCCTTTGGGATTAGCCATATATAGTAGACTGAACTCTGTCATGACGTGTATGATCTAGAGCACTCTGGAGATTTCGTTTCCAGTTCAACAGCAGTAAAAAATTATCATTTCACCCACCAAACGCCTTAGTATTTCTGACACATTGTGAACTAACTTGCGTATTTGATATGACTGTATAATCCCTCTAGACAAAGGCAGGTTTAGGACAAAACATATTACAGTGTAATCCTAAAGTGGGCAGATTGCTTTCCCACTAATAATGTGACAGGCTTTAATAAACATTTCATTGGGAAACATAACGAAGACTGGTGATATCTCTAAGGCAACCTTTCAAAAATGTCCTACTGCTGTCAGCATTGCAGCCCTGCATTGTTGGCAGTCACAGAGATTACTGACTACTGGATATTTTTAGGCAAGACAAATGTAGATATATTACAGAAAACACAACACACTATGATACCAAGGCCAACAAACATTTGCCCTACTGAAGCTACATAGTTTTATTCACATTGACACTGAATCCTAACCCCTTTCCAGACTCAGGGGAAAATCAACTGTTATAAATAAAATAAAAAAGTAACCAAAGCTCATATCTTAATAGCATATCAAAGAAAGGGGTAACCAATTGTATTCACTTGTATTTTAACAGTTAAATGTGTTCAAATGTTAGTAGGGCAGAAACCAACCCTACTTATTTTACAGGTGCATAATTTGCCAGTATTTTCCTGATAATTTCAATGAACCTTCCTTAAAAGAAGCATTATTTTTCTTATTAATTATAGGAAAATGAAGACAGTGTATCATCTCCAGGGTTTCAATTAATTAATTCTAACTAATTGCTACCGTAACCTAGGGGGTCTTTTAGTCAGTGAACAGCAGGTCAGCTGAACATTAAAAAATGCTTAGAGGCAAACTTAAAATTCAACAAATGTGGAGAATACAGTTTCCAATAATAAATGACCACTGACTAAATATTTACTTGGGTTTAAACTTTTCTTTCAAGGTAACTTCCTGGCAAATTAAGGTCCCATAAAATAAAGCATTACCTTAAATTATTTTATAACCAATTAATGTGACAACAGTTAACTTATACGTTAGTCAACATAAATGTGAGAAAATTGTGAAAAGATCTGTCACAGTTTTGTCCAACTAACAGGCTAAAACCCCAAAATATATGCAATCATAAGCCAATGAGGGATCATCGTCCTTGTTATTATACTAGTGACACCTAGCGAGATGCCTGTGCAGAGGTGGATAGGATTTGTTTGTCTCCTGTAAACTCAACTTCAGGCTTATGGCTGACTCATTTATGAAGAAGATATTTCAGAAGCTACCCTGACATTTGTCAACTTCTAGTTACCCTTTATGAAGAAGAACCTTTAGAAAAAAAACATGCAAATGTCACCTCTGGACTGAACTGCTCAGTGAAATCAATTTGCATGCGTGCTATTTGGGCTATTTAAGCTTCAATGTCATTGCACCAGCAGCAAGCATATTATGCAAGTCTGAACTTCCCCTTCAAACTGCTGACAATACGATTCTCAGGAGACCTCAGTGCCTTTGTAAAAAAGAAAAGATTGAATGAGTTCCAAGCAAAATGTTGACATAAATCCAATCATGCTGCTGCTGTTCCCCTGTTTCTGCTACTGAGGGGATCATATTACCATAAACTCATGCTAATCGGCTGAACTCCCTCATTATCTGAGAGAGGAGACCAATTAGTTGTTTATTTTTCTCTCTCAAATGCAATTACTTTCATAGATTCACCATTTAACTTTAATCTTTTACAAATTCAAGGACCATATTTTTTCTGCAATAAATTACCTTTTTATTTTTTTACAATTTAGGTTTTATTGTTGTGTTGTTGTTTGTATTCTATATTATTATTTATTATATTTTACCTGACAACAAATGGTTTTAAAAAGCAATTTTAGCAAAAACAACATTGATATTCCAGACATATATTTCATTTAATCACCCTCCTTCTTATGCAGCCTCACACAATTTGTGGCCATAAATATATCTTGTTCTGCCCCCAAAACACAGGAACACAGCCAAAGAAAATCCCAAAATATGAATGCAGTCTCTCATCTTATAATACCTTCTGTGCTGATTCACTTTAAGACATACCAGCCAAATCCTTCTCAACAAAAAAAAAAGTGAATTTTCTCTTAAAGAAACATTTCCAGGCAGAAAGCTCAGAACCTGTTCCCTTGCACTTCCCATTCAAAATAAAGCAAAACGCTCTTAAAATTACTGATTCTATGTCAGCATAACATCTGCTGTTCAGATGGAGATAAACTGGAAATAAACTGTACACAAAGAGCTTAATGTTATTCATCCTTTCAAAAGGTTTCGCTTATCTTACCGCTACATCAAATACAGTGTCATGTTCAAGTGTATCTTTTCTAGTTCAGGGAATATAAAGCATAAAGCAAAAATCCCATCATTAACACATCCGCTATGTTATACATGTCAAAGAAGAGGATATAGTGAAAGGTCTTAGTAATCCTACAGGGCAAACAGTATATGAGAATTTGAAACGCTCATATTTATAGGGGGAAAAAATGCCATCAAGCTTTATTGACTTACATCTAAGAAGGCATCCATCACATGTCTGCACCTCTATTACTGAATATTCTAGCTGACAAACCAGAGAGACGATCTGACAGCCTAATGCTGGGATCATATTAAACACAGTGAATGCATTTCTTTGTAGAAATTAATGCATTTTCTGCACGGCTCTGCTTTGACACATTTTTACACGCTCGTTCTGAAGTTACCAGGACAACAGTATTTATACATTTAATAAGAGCCACAATGAAGGTTTATGTTGTAATTGTAGTATTGGAAATCACATCGAATCTGCTTCTTGTGTTTGAGCCATAAAATCAACAGATCAACCAAACATCATTTAATCAAAAAAAAGAAATTATGAAACAGAGGAACCAAAGCCAGAACCACTGAAAATTGCCAATTTATCTTAATCACCAGGTTAAAATAACGACTCTTTGCTGGCCACCAATCAGCTGTCTCCTGTCACATCCAGACCACTGTTTTGTTAGTAAGCACAGAATAAAATAGTTTTCTGTGCTATGCTGGATGCCTGGGGAGGCACCTTCAGATGTCTGTTCAACCAAGAGTGTGTTCTGCAACCAGCTCATCAGGGAGCTACAGGCAGACTTTCCACTAACCAAAAATGCCCCATTGTCTGTTGCTACATCACTGAAAATGTACTCTCTCTTTCTCTATTGGTGTGTTTGCGCACTGAGCAAGAGGGAGAGGGAATATATAACGTGTATTAGATAAAGATAATGTATTTGTAATGTGAACATCAGCCTTGTATTCCCTTATTACACACCTTAAAGTGAAAGGGCATTGACATTTTGTGTTTTCTAACAGGAAGTATCTACATTTATCATTCTCGGGCTGAATCACAAGCCTCCACATTAAAAAAATATGTTCATAAGCAGCAATGTCTGGAATGCTACAGCAAGAAAGCAAAGGTTGCTATGAAAGAAGGAAAGCAGATTGTGGGGCACAGCCAGAGAACCAATGAAGTGTAACGCTCTCCTCCCTACGACACGACCAGTGAGACAAAGGGACGTGAAGGGATCCATGGCAATGCCAGATCTCCTCCGTAACAGGCAAATATCATTAGCTGTATTAATAGCCTGCATGTTAGGTCATTTGTAAATCTGCTGTGTGTTTATGCTTTTATTTCCACGGCGATGTTTGAACAGCTTTTTGAGACCGTGTTGCCACGAGAAGATCTGCAGATGGTTGAGAAAATGATCTGAAAAGAAATATCTGCCTCACCTTAGCCGTAGTACCATGTTCACAGCACCTTGAATGTAGGGTGCATCCTCATACGGTTCAACCTGCATTAGAAAACACCTGATGATTTTACATTTTTGATGAGCTGACATGGTCCGCTAATGGACTGAGAGATCAGACAAACAACACTGTTTTCTGTGAACAAGACGAAGAAGCTTTGCACACAAATCGTCAGAGAACACAAACCACAAAGTGTGTGCGGCAGTGAAAGTACACTCAGCCGATGTGGTTTATTTTTTCTGAAAAATGTCTTCCATTTATTGCAGCTGCAGGGAAAGTTTTATGGGAAAAGAAAAGGAACAATACATAAAGGTGTATTGTGTAAGGATTTATCACCGTTATCACTACCATCTTACAAATGGGCTCTTTGTATGGCAAAGAATAGACATTAGGGGTAAGAAATGACTGCTGAGTAGCTGTCAGAGTTAATTCCTTACTGGAGCACAAGACTACACCTCAAACTGCTCTGGCTCATTTTCAAAATGACAATAGCCTTAGAAAATGGCCTGCAATGGCAGAGAGTCTTTAGATGAGATACACCCAGGCAGTGAGCTGGCACTGTCAGGCAGACAGCCATTTACTCTGAGTTATTACTGCTGAGAGCATCCAGGAGCTCCAGGAGGCCGACATTCACATGTGCGCATACACACACACACACACACACATTTACCCACTGACACATGTGCACATGTACAGCATGGATGTGCACAAACACACACAGACAATCAGTGGTGCATCAAGGTCATTGAATCATGACAAATTAGTGCTGCTGCTGAATCCCTCACCTGGGGATGCTGAATAGACAACCCTTCAATAGGGACACTGTTGGCATTCTCCTCATTCTAGGAGCAACAAAATGAGAGGCAGAATTGTGCAAATGCGATTACATCCTTGGTAAATATCAAATCTTTTAAAGAAAACACAGGAAAGTCAATTTAAAACAATCCACGAGGAGTCATTTTCTGGCTTTGTCAGACAGTTTAAAACAGGTGCCTGGCTGTTTTGATTAAACTGCATAAAAATGTGTTGTGAAATAAACATTCATAATTGAGTTCATGATTCTTACACAAAGCTTCAGCCCAAGTAGGCTGTATAATTGCATTTCCAAAAATGCCCCTCTTCCAAGTTACCAAATTATAAAGCAGCAGAAAGGATAAAGCTTATTTGTCTCTTCACCAAAATTCAAAGATACATTTAATTGTATGTTAAAATCGGTGTAGAGGAAGAGCTGACTCACATCTCTGGCCTCATCTTTGACCCTTCGTGACTGGAGGGAAAAATCAAACACACATTTGAATGTTCATATTCATAGGTACACAGAAATAATGATTTTTTTTCAAGTTTCTAAAAGACCAAGAAAATGTATAATGTGCATGTTTCAGTATTCCTGTCTGTTTCTCCATCTGCCCATCCGTCTGTTTTTACTTTTCTAAAAAATGTACAGTACAACTGCTGAGAAGTAACAAGCCTGAGATCGATGAAAGGAAACATAAAAAAAACATCCTTGTGAAAATACTATCAGCAACAACTTATTTCTTAAGTCCTTACTTTTGGGAACGTATTACTTATTGCATCATACATTAAAGCTGAGTATATCTATCAAAGGGCTCTTTGATCATAGCTGTCTACTTCCTCCTGCCTCAAATCCTTGCAGCAATCTTCCAGCTCATTACAGCGACCTCATGACAGGCTCTCTCAGAGATAAACCATCTGCTAACCGAAAAACACTGACTGATTTGGGGGGGGTGAACCAGGTCAAAGACGGAGGGGAAATGACATAACAGTTTGATCTACAGGTTAGACGTGACGTGCAACAATAATGACCAGCACCTTAATAACTCCGATTCTTTATTTCCGATGCTCACTATGTAGTTTTACAAATAAAGGTGAATCTAAAACCTAATCTTGATGATGAATGACGCGTTTTTTGTTGGAGGTCTCACCTACCCTGCCCTGATTCACTGCTGCCTTGCCCTCCTCACTGCCCTCGTCCAGCTCGTCATCGCTCCACTCCCAGTCTCCATCCTCCGTCTTGTGCAGGTGCCCACTGGAGCCTGGGACTCTCCTCACCTGGACACACAGCCAGCACGCATAATGTTAATGATGTCATTCATTGTTTTTTTTAATTGAACCTGCACGCACATTGTGGTTTACCCATGATTGCATTAGGTTGATATTAGAGCAGTGGTTCTGAATGTTTTTGGAGTACTGGGACCCTTTTAATGAGCTGAGGGATCCCATCCATGGGAGAAACTAAACATCTGCTCAGTTTCTTCTTGTAACAAGATCCTTTTCATGGCATAACAAGATATTTTTCATGTTATTATGACATTTTTCTTGTTATCACTACCCAATTTTTTCCCTTCCCGATCCCGATTTCGATACTTGAACTTTGCATATCGGTCGATACAGATTACTGATGCGATACATTTGCGTTAAAATTCGGTATATATATATTCATATACACACACACAGACAGAGTAGGATTGTATGATTGCTATAATTTCGTATGGCCTGGCTCAGGTTAAAGCCTTTTGTCATGACTTTGCTATTCTGGGAAAAAAACTTTGAACGGGACACTGCTCAGAAGTAGCAAAGTCCATTTTCGGGGATTAATAAATTATGTGGTATTAGGTCGGTGCACAGATTTGTGTACTCGCCCATACGCAGAAGTTTAGGCTGTATCGGAGAAATTTTGGGTACTGGTATTGGTACTTTTACGCAAAACTTTCTTGTTATAATAACATATCACTTCTGCTATCTTGCGAAATCATAAAACTTTCTTGCAGTGCTATAAATTGGTATGTTGGTATAACAAGAAAGAGACCAGAGATGACACTGTAGCCTGCATCAGTAAAGATAAAACATAATGTTAATAATATGGTATGCAGTAAAAATTTGAAAATATGTCATAATAAGATGAAAAATAACTTATATTATTATATATAACACAAAAACAATTTTGTTGTAACAAAAAACTTTTCATGTTGTAACAAGAAACTGAGAATTTTTGTCATGATGGCAGAAATAAGCTGCTGTGGTCTGGAAATAATCAGTCCAGCTGGTTGTGGTTCCAAAGCAGAATGGGATTAATCAGAGAACAGAACTTTTTCCTTGCATACTTTTTTCATTGATAAGCTATTGTTTGGGTGGGGGAGGGGTCTCACTTTATTATTACTATTGCTTCAAATGTATTTTAATATCTAATAATGATATAAAGAAATTATAAGGTTAGAAAAATATAATTATATAAACATTTATGAAAAAGATTTTTTAAAAAGATAGACAGATATATGGTGTTGGCTCATTTTCAAACGTTACTAGTATGAATGTCATCAAAACATTGGCGATATATAGTACACTGACTTAAAAAACAGCTTAAAGCAACTATATCAGTTTAGTAGGCACAGCTTGGGTACAGCACAGTACAAGAGAAAACTCATATGAAGAGGCAACATAGGAGAGATTACTTAAACTTGGTTAAACAGTAGTAACACAACTGCAAATTGTAACCAGCATATAAAAGCAGGTAAGTATGGCAGTGTCATTGCTAAAGCCTGTAATTTGCTGCAGTTCTACAGTCTGTAAGACAAGCCACACATGACTAGTCTACCAGCGTGAGCTAAGATATGACAGCACCACAGTGTTACAGAAGAGACAGCACACACAAACTGGAAGCCACTAGCACTGGGGTCATAAAAATTCACCCAGCTTTAGGGAAGGTCAAAGTTAAAGAAGCACTACCCTTCTGGTGGTGTCGGGTTTTTTTTCCAAACCTGACATAGAACCAAGGCTCCCCCAGTTCTGCTCGGGGTCCTTGAGCAAAACAGACACAGATCAATGCACTCAGTGGCCGACTGACATAAACTAACACACAGAACATGCGGCTAACATAATCTTCCCACTCTAAATGTAGGAATAGAAACATTATAAGATCAGAATGTGTGAGTGTTAGTAATAACTGCTATCAGAGTTTGCAGGGGATAAGAGTGAAGCACAGGTAAAATGCCCTGTATTTTAAAATCAGGCTTCAGAAATCATCCACGCAGAACTCAATCCATATTCCATCATCATATGTGCACTGGACCATACATTTGAACTCAATATTAATCCCTTTCAGGTTTTCAATATGTAACAAATCAATGACTGAAGCCCACATTGGTTGTTAGTCACTAATGTCTAATATTTAAACAATAAAGCCTCCCTCCAATTTTCTCATTGGGAAGCTCTATTGTGGGTGTCAGGGTGCCCTCTGCTGGTTACTCAACTCACATGTATACGTATGTATGTATGTATGACATTTTCAAATCATATTTCAAATATGACAAATATTGTTGGTCAGTTCTGTAAGAGGTAATTTCCTCTAGTCCTCCTTCCTTCCTTCTTTTTTTTGTTTTGGAAATTATTCCCTCCTTTAATAAGATAAAGTATTCATTTAAAATTACTTTGTTGGTGACAGCTGACCAGAGGATCTGCCATCTCCCTTTTCAATTCACGTGATCTATTCCAGAATGCAATCTGCAAGCTTTGGGCAATGTTTGCTGAATGTATAATGTAGATGACTCTGTAGGTCAAATCAGCACAAAATGACAAGGACACGGGCTCTGAGGCTCAAACATTTCATCCACCGAAGCTATCAAGTAAACCAGACATTACCTGACTGTATAAGATGTGCATGCTGTCTGCACTTTTAA